CCTCCCCTCTCCCCTCCTCCTCTCCCTCTCCCTCTCCCTTCCCCTATCCCTCTCTCCCTCTCCCTCTCCCTCTCCCTCTCCCTCTCCCTCTCCCTTCCCTCTCCCTCTCCCTCTCCCTCTCCCTCTCCCTCTCCCTCTCCCTCTCCCTCTCCCTCTCCCTCTCCCTCTCCCTCTCCCTCTCCCTCTCCCTCTCCCTCTCCCTCCTCTCCCTCTCCCTCTCCCTCTCCCTCTCCCTCCCCTCTCTCTGTATGTCTTTCATGAGTCATGTCGAAATCCACATGGTCTTGGTTTGCGTAAGTGAATTTCAAGCACCTTGATAACAATGCCATGGGTACCCTGTTTTCACTATCCACCAATTTATATACTCCCCCTACCCTCACAGGGCAAAGCTGGGATCACTTGTACTGGGGAAAGTGTATAGCTTTGGCAAATTTCAAATTTCATAGCTTGCAAATTTCATAATTTCATAGCTTTGGCTTTATTCAGCAAAAAAGGCAATTCACCCTACCTGCAACAAAAAGCAGGTGTTTTAGGCATTTACCTTATCAAGCAGCATGTGAAACTCATGCATACCCATTCAACAATCACCACATTCTCTCCTTTACAGAATAGACAGGTGAGCCAAAAAAGACACAGATCCACACACAATGTACAATTAGTACAAGATTAGCGCAACATATGATAGTGATCAGTGATGGGTAACATTTTACTCTTCCCAGTGGGATGGGTCATGGGGTTCATCTGCTGCAGAACACAACTGAATCTGTGATGGCTCAGAGTCAGGTCAGGGACAGGATGCCCATTGCCCAATCACAAGACCCTTGAGTGAGACTGTCCTTTGGCTCCTGATTCACTGTCAAGTGTCAGTGGTACTTCAGAACCATAGCAATGAGGCTAGAGGGCCAGAGGCACTAAGGTCTGCAGCATCAGCAGACAGCTCTGCCTTTATCAGCATTTTGATCAGACAGTGGAGCATCACCACAGGCCACAAGGGTCCAGATCATGCACAGAACTAGTGGACTCTTCCATTTCCATCCCAGAAACGAACGTGAACAAACTGAGTGTCTCGAGCAACTCCAACCCTTCTACCAAAGGATCATACTCCGAGAGACAGACATGTCATTTCAGCAGCACAGATCCTGTCGACATCAGCCAAGAGGGGACAAAGCACCCACTCGTAGAGTGACGACTGTACACAAGCAAGCGCTCGCGAGGGGTGATGTTAGTAGACGTGCTTAGCGGTGATTGAATAGGGGGCAAGGCGCCTTGCAGGACCTGGACCATCTACCACTGCTGTACCGGAGACCATGGGATCTTAAAGCGAGGGTAACGGCCTTCCATATGACGCCGTTATGTCTCACACTGGCCGTTACCGCGGGGATAATACGGTGTAGTGTAGCTGCAAGCGACACCGCTACTGCTGAGGAACCGACGCAGCTCAGCCAATATGAGGGCCGCTCCCCTGTTTGAATGAATGTAGAGCCGGCATGCCGAAGATCGCGAACATCTTATAAAGGCACGAGATGACCGTGGCGGTCGGTCATATCCGCGCATGGGAACGCAAAGGGAAAGTGTGAAAACTCGTCAGCGACAAAGAATAGATAGCGATTGATTATGGCACGACGTCGGAAGAAGGCCCCTGAAGCCTATGTTGAGACTCTCAACGGGCTAGGCAGTCTTGATTGAGTGAGCTTGAAGCAGTCTGTGAAACCTTTGTTCTCACCCAGCGCAAGTTTGGCATGAAGAACTGACTTTGGACGTTATCAAAGGAAAATGGCAGGCTGCAAGAACGGATGAGGTGTACCATCTAGGTAACGGCGGGGTAGCAGAGAGAGTTGTGGGCTCCACCAGGGTATCGGAGCTAAACGTCGCACAGTACGCTCTTGAGAAGTCATCGGCCGGGAGGTTTTCTGCCCCTCGAACTTCGAAGTTGAGGGGGGTTTGGCTGCAACCGGTTTGCAGTCAGGAGAAAGGCTGGCCAACAACGAAAGTGGGGGAACAGAGAGGGTCGCTAGTCCATAGACACTTAGTGGCGGTTTCTGCCTCATAAACTGAACCGTTACACTGCCTGTGCTGTCACATGAAATCCTGTCCCAAGATGAGGTCACAACACGGGGTTGGCAGGACCGACAGTTTTACAGCTGAGTAGGTAGGTACACGCCTAACCATAGGGGGTAAGGTCGACCAGGCAATAGCGGAGTGTTTGAACCGAAAGAACAGTGGCGGCCAACGATAGTGTTTGGCCGATGACGCACATGCAGGCTATGTTCATGGACAAGAGACTGGCCTATAAAGCTCTCGGAGCTACCAGTAACCAGCAGCACAGTCGCACTATAGCCATCAACACGAACACTGACGCTAGCATCAGACAGAACACCAGCAGAAACAGAGGCCACAGCAGACAATACAAGACCACTGAAGGCCGCTAAAAATCGGCCATTACCAACAATCGACGAAACGAAATAAAATTTACTAATAATGTATGTAAAATTGATGTAGAAGAAGCTACAGAAAATGTCAAGGCGATCCGCGCATTGCTGGTTCTCTGAACAATCGAGAACAGTCAACTGGGGGGGGGGGGGAGATGAGAAGGGGGTGTTTGACAATTAACACCCCATTCAGTCAATAGTGGATCCGGTGCTGAAATTGAGATTGCATTCAGCTGTCCGATACACGAAGTGAGCTTGTGCCTCTTTGTTTGAGCTAGATATCCATTGCAACCCACTCTGCGGTAGCCTATCCGGTGCCATTGCCACACTTTGACGTGCAATATCTATCCGCTTTCCATCCGTTTCGAGCTCGCGGGGCTTCTGGTCTGTTCGTTGAGTCGCTGGTCATATGTGCTCGGTCGTCACCCTGCAATGGCAATGCAGTCCCGCCCCCTACCGGGCTCTGCAGTTCTCTGTGCTCACAACTGGCGTGAGGGATGTATACTCCCCCCCCCCCCCTCGTTCATGCTGACTCAGCGTGTGAGGTGAGCGGCGGTCCTGTCAGCAGGCGGAGTGAGGAGGGAGGAGGGACGAGGTCGAGTGGGACCCGAGGCCTGGCGGCGGGCCCGCAGTTGTGCAGGAGACGGGACCGGGCTCGTACCACCGCAGCGTGAAAGGTGAGATGTTACTCAATTGGACGCTCGTTGGAGCTGGCTGTGTGGCCAAGTGGTGGTTAACCTCTGTGATGAGATGTTATTGGTATCTGGTCCATCTGGTCCTCGTTGTCGCATGTGTGCCAGTTGACTGCCTGATATCCCCAAACTCGGTCTACAAAACAGCAAACAGCGATATGGGTTTACTGTGAAATGATAATTCATGGTTTTTGCTCAAACTTACCCGTTAGTAGGACCAATGGTTGAAAGCTTTCGAAGATTCGCATTGCCACATATATCTGCCTATTTTGATCAATGACGTCTTCCTTCTGAGACGTGGCACGAAGCATTCGGAAGAAGAAACATTATTGCATCGGCCCTTTGGGGTAAGCCTGACCAATTTTGAGGTCCCACGTCCGTTATAGGATGATGTAGATATTGATATTACTGCAATGCTGGCTTCTGAGCTCCCACATCCTTAGGATGATGTATTGATGTCGCTGATATACCGCCGCAGTGTCCTGGCTCATGACGCTCCTACCGTACGTAATAGGCCTTTCCAGACACATGTCTGTGCCGCAGATTGCAGAATGCAGCTAACACAGACCGTTAGCTGCACTCTGCCAGGCTGTCGCCACAGCCTACATTCTGTGACGACTTCATGAGTCCAAACTTCAAAGTACGGGTGGTTGTCTGAGCGCGGCTCTGTGGAGGCCACTGAGGGGAACGCGCCGCTGTCAGGCGAAAGGTCACCGCGCTACCGTGTTTGTCTCGTGACTGCGGACGTGTCAGCCCACAGTGAGACTTTGGCATTTGCGCTGAGCTGATCAGTTTATTGGTCAGGACGGTATTTTGTGGCATTAAACGTCTGAGCTTTCTCAACGGAGTCTATTGCCGTCCGCTGATGGACAAGTAGTTTTGATAAATATGTATTTCTTTTTCCAGGGAACCTAACGATATTTCACCATGAAGTTGAAAGTTAATGCCAAGCTTTTGCCTATAAAGGCATTTTACTTTTTCTTCTTTGGTGGTAAGTCCTTTTAAACTGTTTATCGAACATTAGTTAATTTGCTGTAATTACCTCAAGAAATAATATATAGGTTGTAATGGGAAGGGATTTAAATTCATTACAGCGTTATCACCTCCACTTTTCCTCTGACAGGTTGCATCTCGCGCATTGGCTGCCATTGCAGTGTCATCACTGTAAACTGTTGCGTATCTTGCCTTGTATGCCCTCGCTGGTTACCTTGAATATGAGTCAGCCGTGACCCCTACACACCTGTGTTTGTTGGTGTTTTTGTGTGTCTGTGTTTGCGCTACGTCTGTGCTGTCGCCGGCGGCAGGTGTGGCGCCGATCCTGCCGTTCCTGCCGGTGTACGCCCGCCAGCTGGGTATCTCGGAGGTCGGTGTGGGCGCGGTGTATGTCGTCCTGCCTGTCGTGGCGGCGCTGATGCGACCAGTGGTGGGCGCTATCGCCGACGCCACCCACCGGCACAAGCTGGTGTTCTTCTGCCTGCTGGTGGTCACCACGGTCGGCTACATCACGCTGAATTTCCTGCCGGCCGCGCCGCCGGCGCCGCTGGCCGCCGCCGTGCAGCTCAAGTGCGGCCCGGCGGCGTTTGTGAAGCAGTGTGCTGACCGCGAGGCGCACTGCCACGCCGCCCGGCTAACGGCCGCCGCCGGAGCCCGGAACGACACGGTCCGGTGCGAGCTGCACTGTGACCGCTGGCCCGACTGCGGCACGCAGAGCGACTGGTGCCGGCCGGCCGGCGGCCAGCTGCCGCTGCAGCTCAACCTGTCCGCCCTGGACGTGGAGGGTCTCTGTCTGTACCTGCCGCTGAAGGACGTACCGGTGAACGGCACGGTAACGCACTACCCGGCCTGTGTGGACCCCGAGACGACCAACTGCAGTCTGAGCTGCGCCGACCGGCCACTGATGAAGCTGCTGAACGGCCGGCCGGTGGACGCCAGCGCCTACTACCAGACGAGCCAGTTCTGGGTGTTCTTGGTGTTCCTGATACTCGCCTGGGACGGCACCTCCATCACCATACCGCTGGCTGATACTATTGCCTTCAAACTGCTCGGTGAGTTGCGCCGGCCTCCCCTCCCTCCCAACGGTGGCGGACGGCGTGAACCTTTCCTCCTCTCTTGCCCACCCTGGAATGACAAACGTAGTGAGCTGTTCCTACATGACCTGCAGTTGTAAACACGTTGTAAGTCATGTCTGTCTTGACATGAGACATGGGACGGGAACTGTCATAACATATGCTAAACAAGCGGTGATGACAAAGGGACACTCGAATGTCGTTTGTTATTGTCCTCGTCTGTCCATCTTGTTCCATGTTACGAGTATAGGTGACATGTAGACACGGTTTATCATAACACCCCTGTCACAACGTGATGAATAATGGATCACCAGTCACCGGTATCCATTAAAGATGGATCTATTCGTCTCGAGGTGGCTACTGGCTGATTTCTTTTCACATTCATAAGTCAGGCTCATCAAGCAAGGCTACAACGACGTCGAACCCGACGTCTGACCCCCCCCCCCCTGGCGACCCCCCCCCCCCCCTCTGTGCACAGATGACCCGTCCAAGTACGGCTACCAGCGCGTGTGGGGCTCCTTCGGCTGGGGCATCTTCAGCTTCCTGGCCGGGTACCTGGTGGATGTGGCCAGCCGGAACAGCGACACTAAGGATTACTCGCCGGCCTTCTACCTCCTCATCGGCATGATGGTGAGACTTAGTGACCTGTGGGACAGCTGGTACTATCTGCACAGCGTACTTCAGTTGAGGTGATTTGCATTCAGTATGAATTTTTTAGACGTAGACGCCGATATCATTATATTAACACTCACTGACTGACGGGACCTGTGACCCACTCACTGGTGAATGTTCCATCTCACTGTCCCCTTTACGCGCTCAGCCGGTAAGTAGGTCCGTGCTGGTACGGCTCTCGTTAGATTAAGCGGTAGGTTTTGCCCTTTTACATTTCCGGTTATATCTCAGAAACTAATCGATCTACGATGAAGCCATTTTATACGATCATGGCAGGCTTGTGAACGAAGAAATCGATCGCATCTTCAACACTTACAAGCTTATGACGACGAAGATATAGCCTGAAGTACACAAAATTTCATAGGTGCAAAACCTGCCGCTAAAACCCGCGAGACCTGTACAACTGTATCTGTCCCAGCCAACTCTGAGTTAACCCTCCCTGGCCTGCCCTCTGTAGGTGTTGAATATGATGGCCTGCACCAAGCTGCACGTCTCGGCACTGAAGGAGGCCCGGCCGCGGTTCCTGGCCGGCCTGGGCGCGCTGCTGGTTCGTCCGGCCGTGGTTCTGTTTGTGCTCAGCTGCTGCGTGGTGGGAACCATGACCGGACTCCTGTGGACGTTCTTCTTCCTGTGAGTTACTAGTCGGGGAGTGTGAGACGTGCTGCTACCGTACTGTGATATTTGGAGGCTAGAAGTTGCTGATGTTAGAATATGGAAAATGACGGTGATTCGTCTTTATGTAGAGCGCGCCAGTAGTGGAGTTTCTGTAGTCAACAATGTAATCATGAATATTGTTTGTAACGACTCTTCCAGTTCAACCCTCATTTTCCTTTTAGCGATTCATTCACCAGCTGCCACTTTTTCCATCATACGTTTTTGCGTAATGCATTTTCTACTCACTAACCTAGCGCCCTCCCTACTATACAGCCACCTGCAGGACGTGGCGTTGGCCTGGGACTGCTCTGCCTTCGAGTGGATTAGTCTGGTCTCGGGCCTCACGCTGCTCGTGCAGTGCTTCCTCGGAGAGGTGCCTTTCTTCTTCATCTCCGGTAAGAGATCGAAATCACCGCAGTTCCCGTAATTATGGTTTGAATTGAAATGTAGTATCCCTCGAGAATGCATTGCAATTTATCGTCAACAGGAATAGGTCGTCAGCAATAATACAACTATGTTCCGACCTCCCCAACCTCACGCGTTCTCTTTCCCCTTGCAGGCTGGGTGATCCGTAAGCTGGGTCACGTGTACACCCAGACCGTGGTCTTGCTGGCCTTCGGCGTCCGCTTCCTGCTCTACTCGCTGCTGAAGAACCCGTGGGTCGTGCTGCCGATCGAACTGCTGAATGGGCTGACCTTCGGTCTGTTCTACGCCAACATGGTCGGCTACGCCTGCGCCGTCGCTCCGCCCGGTAAGACACAGACAGGGAGCGACGGGGTGCCGGAGGGAGAGGATATATCTGTCTGGATATTTGGAAAGGCTTTCGCGCTGTCGGTTTTGTCCAGGACGGGGGGGGGGGGGCATTGAGGGGTCGACATGTCCACGTTGTTTTAGGATGTTCATTGTTGTCGAACTTTATTTGGCCCTGCCAGATCCGCTGAAGAAACTGGATTTACCGGTTGTTAGCATAATCTGTGCAGCTTTTGGGGAGTCGCCGCTGAACGTTGGAGAGGGTCTGGCCTGAGTGTTTGCGGTGTTTCCAAACCAGGGCCGGTGATCTTTGACATTTATTTTGCAGAGATTGGTCGGAACTATTTACTAGCGTACCACTGCTGCCGTCAATTACGGCGTCTAAATGCTGCCGTGCTAAATCGGAGCTGTCCACTGACATACCCCCATACCCCCAGGCATAACCGCCACGCGACAGGGCCAGGTCGGGGCTGTTAATTGACGTATCCATCCTATTCTCAGGCATGACAGCCACACTGCAGGACCTGGTCAGAGCTGTCCACTGACGTACCACTCCATACTCCCTGGCATAACCGCCACACTGCAGGACCCGATCGGAGCTGTTCACTGACACACCCTTTCTACCCCCAGGCATGACGGCCACGCTGCAGGGCCTGGTCGGAGCTGTTAATTGACGTATCCATCCTATTCTCAGGTATGACAGCCACACTGCAGGACCTGGTCAGAGCTGTTCACCGACATACTCTTTCTACCCCCAGGCATGACGGCCACGCTGCAGGGCCTGGTCGGAGCGTCGTTCGAGTGTGTCGGCGTGGCGATCGGCAGCGGCTTCGGCGGCATCCTGTACGGCTCAGTCGGCGGCGCCATGATGTTCCGGGTAAGTATGGAGCGAAGTCGGCTCTCTACTCGTGATCACAAAGAAGAGGAAAGAATACAACACCCGCTCTTTTTGTGATTTTCAGCATTGTTCCGTGGCTCCAGACCAGGTCCATGCCTGATCTTGGATGGGCAGTTATTACAGTCTGACTTGGGGATTTGGGAATTGGGTCTTTATTGACACGCTTTATGAGGGCTCTGAAACTAATTTCTGCTGATCCCGCCTCTCCCAGTCCCATATTTTTCAATCAAAACCTGACAGCCCCCGTCTCCTCTGTCAGATATTCGGCCTGATCTCGGTGGCGGCGTCCGTTCTGTACGTGGTGCTCCACTGTATCACCAGCCGCTGGTGTCCCGAGCCGGCAAACTCCGGCTCCGACGCCGACCGGACGGCCACGCCGGACAGCATGCTGCGTGAGATGAAGCCCATGGACGGCCGGGCGGCGCCGGAGGGATCCGAGGCGCCTCTGGTGCCAGAAACACCCAACGGGGACGCCTAGACCGTGTGAGTGAGGGTGAAAGGGTGAGGGTGATTGTGACTGAATGTCGTGGTGTAGGTGTTCATTGTTTTCAGACACCATTTATCATGGTGACAACGTTTTAGTTCAAAGTCAACAACTCAGAGACGCTCATATTCACCAATGCGTGAAACAGTGCCGGCTTGTGGCGTTTGTTAGTCAACATCAGTGATATTTTCTCATTCCGTTCCAACCTTCAACACGACGCTGTTTTTTCTCACATGACAATGGTCTCCAAGATTGGAACGGAATTGGAGTCGCCCATCTTAGGGACGCTGAGCTTTACTTTACCGAAGTGATCAAATACATCTTTTGTAGAAAAGGATTATGTATTGTGTGGACCCATCCCCTAGTGAAACACATAAGGCAATCCCCAAAACAGGTACTGGCAATTGACATGGCCAAATAACACCCAAGGCACACGATAAACCCATAATTTGTATCACATGGCGGTGCGACTAGCGCACCTTGATTTTCTGTCCTCCCTCTACCCTGAACAGCATATGCCAGTAGAGCGCCAGCCAGCAGCAGACCACGCCCACTGCACAGTAGAGTGACGTCACCAGCAGCGGCAGGAACGGCCACCGGCCATCCAGGCCGAGCGCCCGGTGTCCAATGACGTCATACACGGCCACGGCCGCCAGACCGGCCAGGTAGCCGGTGTAGGCGCGGCTGGGCGGACCGGCGGCGGCCGGCAGCGCCTGCGCCGCGTACCCAGCGTGCAGGCCGGCCAGGAGCAGGCGCGCTGGCGCCTCTCGGCCGCCGAACAGCAGCGGGCCCAGCGAGACGTGAGCGGCCGCCGAGAGCAGCAGGTAGAGCCGCGCCTCCGGCCCGCTGCGCAGCGCCAGCACCGCCAGCGGCACCACCGCCAGCAGCACGGCCTTCTCGTGCACGTGCCAGCCCAGCAGGAACGAGCACAGCGCGCACTGGACCAGCGCGCGCAGGAAGGCGGCCGCGTCGGCCGGCCGGCGCCACAGGGTGACCAGGGCGGGCAGCATGGCGGCCGCGCTGAGCGCGAACGTAGCCGCCGGACGGACGGCCGGGAGCAGGGCGTGCTCCACGTCCTGTACCAGACCGCCGGTCATGGAGGCCGCCGCCGAGCCGGGCACCGACACACCGAGACGCCGCGCTGGCAGACAGAGACACACAGTTGTCAGACATAGAGACATTGAGTACCCGACAGGGAGACAGTCTACGATAGAAAATGAAGCTGCAGTGGGACAGATAAAGTAGGTAATCAAGGATGAAAGGATTTTGAAAAAGGGGTCAGGATCTACACACTCAAAATATGTTTAATGCGTCCCTAGCTTAAATTTGTCAATCCTTTTATACAAGACATCCAAACCGCCTAACATATAAGCAACCCTAATTGAGTGAAGTCCAAAGTTTTCGTGCCATATACCATTCAGCAATGCTGTCTATCCTATCACACCGATACTCACCGCCGAACACAGCGAGTTTGTCAGCCAGGTTGTAGAAAACCCAGAGGTTGGGAGCCCAGTAGGCGTGGCACAGTCCGCGTTTGAACGGGAACAGACGGGACACCAACTGCCGGACAGAGATGAACACGTTATAGACCCCAGATGAGACATGACGAGGAATTGGACACATATAACTAATAGACGGTGCCGTGGCGGTGCCATCAAGCCCGACCGAGGGAGGGCTGCTAGGTTCGAGAGTCACCGAACCAATTGACAGGAGGATGGATGAGGATGTCAGGGAGGAAGGGTGAGGTAGAGGGTTGCACCGATTTTGGCCGTCGGTTCACCGGTACTTCCTTCCCCCGAGTATCGGTACTTTCAACAGACTAAATAGCATACATGGCTCATATTGTGCTCGCAATGTGTCGAGCGTCAATCAAGAAAATACGGCATTTTTCAATTTTCACACCACTAACCTCAGTCGGAAGCTCAAAAAGATGCATCCCTCTTCACCCAAGCACCCACTCTCCGCTCTGCGACTAATTAGAGAAAATCTCCCAAACTCACCTGGGGCAGCTGACCGAGCGCGGCGAACGGCGCCAGGGACAGGCCGAACACACCCAGCACCACCAGACCCAGTTTGGCAGTGTTGGCGAGCTGCGGGCGCGGCAGCCAGCCACCGGCAGGGATCGTCACACAGTAGTTCCGCAACAGGAACACAAAGTAGGCCGGCGCCAGGTACAGGAAGATGTGCTTCATGTTCAGCAGCACCGTGAAGAAGAACGCCGACTTGAGGAAGCGGCCCTGCGGAGAGAGGTGCGAATGTATGAGAATCGCAGGCTAAACTCAGCATGGTTTACGACTTTGTCAGAAGTCACTTGACGTTAGCACAAGTTCCGTTCATGCGCGAGGGTGAAATAATAACGCGAACATATCTTTCGACGCAAACTTTACATTGATATTCGTCTGAATTTCTAGCATTAATCACAAGTACAACCTAGATTTAAAGCCATTATCATACTAACTATAACTCAGCTCCACATAACGACAACATTCAGTCTGTCTGACTCCCGTCCGGTCCCACCTGCGTCATGTGCGCGTAGCTGATGAGCAGCAGTCCGATCAGCAGGCCGTTGTACTGGAAGTGGATGTGATCCACCATAATGAGACCGGCGCTGCCCAGAGTCAGCGCCGCCAGTCGCACCCGGGGAGAGGTCAGGTAGGTGCCCTGGCCGGGGACAGTGTCCGCGCACCTGGAGGGTGAATACATCACACACTGATCAGAGCGTGTTAGGTAGGTCCCCTGGCCGGGTACAGTGTCCGCGCACCTAGAGAGGGACAGACAATAGTCACAGACGGGTCAAAAGGAGTCACGTAGGCCCCCTCACTGGACACGAGGTCTGTGCACATAGAAAGTGACCATATACTCAAAAGCCTACCAGAAAGAGGTCAAGTACCAGTAGCCCTGCTATACGGCTGTTGATTTTTCTATTAGTTGAAGATGGAAGCTGCTGCTCCTATGGGGGGGGGGAGGGGGGGCCATTCCCTGCTTACTTTTTGACGCCGACTAGAAGCACAAAGTCGCTAGCGATGACAGTCAGGCGTTGAAACAGGATCGTGGCTGGCGAGGCGTAATTGAGATTCTGCACCTCCAGCATTCTGCAACGTGACGTCGGCTCGGTCAGCGGGAAAAGCAAAGCAATCATTGATACCAGTAATTATTGACGTATAGGTAGGGGCATAGACCTCTGTATACCGAATACCGATGTCTATGGTAGGGGATATTTGCAGTTATAGTGATCAAACATTTCTTCATTTCCTCAATGTCGGTCACCAGCTTAGTTTGTCCGCTTAGCGGAATGACGCTTTCTGACTCAGAAAGCGTCCTGCGTAATTAAGCGTAACAAGCGTCCTTCCTAATTCTGAGCAGAAAGAGTTTTAGAATTCAGATCTGCACTCAATCATATGACGTTGTAGAATACACAAACTCAGTGCCAACGGTACCACAAGACCAAATTTTAACACCAAACATCCTATTTTGGCACAGAAATTCACTAATTAAAACCGAAACATATTTATCTGCACCACAATGATTGCATTCGACAAAACAGATGTCAGAACTGGAACAAATTGCCTCAATTCACCAGTATATTGAATCAGTGTTGTATAATCAGATTCAGAAATTCAAAAACAATATGCAGGGCGGAGTTTTAGCACTGGCCTGGGGTCGAAGAAGGCGGCCAGCTGCGAGAGGCAGTACTCGAACCAGGCGAACAGCGGCGGGTAGTCCAGCGTCCACTCTGACGTGCTCTCCGTGTACCATTGCTCCAGCGGCAGGGAGTGTGTGATGGCCAGCCAGTTACGGTGAACCTCAAAGTCCGTGCTGCGGCTGAAATGAGATTAATGACAGCGTCAGCCATAGCTCTAAATTACACTTAACTTTGTGTTTGATATCAAATGGCAGTTTGCATGACATGTCACGTTGAAGGAAACCACACTTAACAAAGCTATGTTGATATTTAAATATTTAATGCATAAGAAATGAAGAGCCACATTCACTGTAAAATGCCATTCACTCATGCCTTGTAAAAAGTCTAATGAGTGACATCCACAGACCAAGGCTTAATGTGTAAAATACTAATAGAGTCCTCATTTTCATATAGAGTCTAGGGATCCCTTCAAAGTAGCACATGAACTCTTTTCATGACATTTACATGTAGCACATCAACATCAACCATCGATGACAGAGCGGTTCAGTAGGTATACCCTGTATGGTTTTCTGCAAATAGTTATCTCCGGATTGAGTGAGCTGATCCGGCCTAGACTCGGCGCACCCTTCTCTTCACCTTTGAGACACAGTTCACTTTTTCTGACACAGCTTTTAGCTCACTTTCAGGGGTCATTGAGCTATAACGTCAAACTACGCAATTTTCGGCAGTAAGCGGCGATCTTTTTGTGATCTGGATATCGATACCTGCCATTAGTGTCGCGACGGAAGAGGGAAAGCAGGGCAACTCCCCCCAAGCTCCGACCAGGAACCACCCGTACCCCTAAGATCGATGCACATCCGATGAGATTTTGGGGTCGGGAAAAATGGGGGGGGTAATTTTCTGGAAATGGCTGCGAAATCGGAATCCGCCGAAGTTGCCAGTTGCAACCAGTCGGGGTCGGAGTTACCAAAATTTTTAAAGCTCTTTCAGATGCATGAACAGGATTTCCTCCATCCAGTTGTTTAGACCAATTTTTAAAACAGGTAAGAACATGACTGATGCAGGTAAAAAGCTGTTTATTCGATATTCACAATATCTCAATATATCACAATATATTCTGTGTCTCTGACCTGACCTGTGACTTTGCGAGGTCACCAGTATGGATTCAGATCAGGAACAATTAGCACATTCTCATGAAGAGCACTGAGTAACTACTTTTTCTGCAAAACCCAAACTCAATTTGGGAGGTAGCAAATGCCAGCAAGAATTAGCACAATGATCTTTACTTACTATGCCGGGATCAGGAGCAATTTCAAACAGCTGGTTAGAATAAATACTTCATAAATAGAGTCCATTCCTGAAATAAGAGAACGTTTGTTAATGGAAAACATTGTATTGATTTTTTCTTTTGATTCTATTGATCATTACTTATCCAAAGACAACAAAGTACCTATGACAATAATGTCTGTCAAGATTGTGTCTGTACAGGACCACAGCATTCCGCTGGCATAAGTTGCAGTGCAGACTGCAGATTAACAGCTTGTGGTGTGAAATTTGTGTGGATAGCTGTGAGCCCTTGGTGATACTGTGCTGAACTGCTGTGCTGGTGCAGCATTGTCTGAAAAATGATACACAGGAGACTTACAAGCTGACAGGATCGGCCAGAGAAAAAAAATAGTGATTTCCTCCATTTG